AGATTCCATATTTAGTAAGTAATTTATTAATTTTAGATATTACATGAATCAATAATTTGCTAATTTTAAAAAAGTTTATCTATCAAGTGATTCGTATTGTATATCATTTTTTATCGAATCTGGAATTTTCAATTGAAATTCTTTGGCTTGATTGATACTTCTATTCCACTGTTCATTTACATTTTCGAAAATTTCTTGTTGATCTTTTTTAATTTCATACAGTAAATTTAAATATGTGCTTCTTAGTTCGTTATCAGCTTTTTTCCGGTGTCTTGTTTTGTTATTTTCAGTGTATTTTTTTATTAACTCCTGAGCTTTTTCTTTATCTTTTTGAGTCCACGTTTTTCCTTCATATAATTTTTCCACTTGCAACAGATACCAGTAATATTTTTCTTCTGTTAATTCATCGCAAAGATCGGGATTCTTCAACTTCGTATCAAGTATTTGATACAACATTGAATATTTAAAATTTTTTTTTTAATTCTTCAGTTAAATCTTTAAGTTTTTGTAATTTTTTTCATCCATTTTTTTTATTTTTGGTGAACATATGGAAATGCGTTATATATTTAACTAAATTGCCAAATATGGATTATCCACATTTAGCAATTTCGATCATAATTTTTTTTTATTTAAACACGAATTTGAATACAAGAAATAAAATTACAATAATTGTTAAAATGTCAAGTTTCTTTAGAGAAAATGCAGATGTTATCATCAAAACTGATCTAGAGATACGTGCGCATTCTCAAATTTTAAGCGCTCATTCTAATATTTTCGTACTTTATTATTATCAACTTGGGTTAAGAAGGATGAAGAGGAAATGTTTATTATTGAAACTAATCAGAAACAAATTGTTATGTATACCATCGTAACCTATTTTTATTATGATACATTACCTGATATTAGTCATAATATAGATTTTGATTTTACGATTGAACTGTTGAAGGAAAGTGATAAATTGTTGTTACATGATGATTTATCTCTCAAGATACAGGATTGTTTGGAATCCGTTATTACTACTTTTTCCAGTAATAATATTGTTGAGCTAGTAGAACTTTTATTCAAATGTGAGTCTCTGTACCACATATTTGAACACACACTTCACCAAATAATAAAAGATATCAAGAGACTTGTATTTGATATTTATGTAAAATTTAACAATGAGACATTCAGATTACTCTTAAAGAGAGATGATTTAAGAGTAACAGAAGAGGAATTAATTTTTATAATTTACGAAAATAATTACGATATCGATTTTGAGGAACTTCGTTTGCATCAGTTAAAAAAAGAAAGAATCGTAGAATTGTTATGGAAAGAACATAATTTTACCAAAAATCAGCATCTTTTGAAAGATGTCATCAGTAAAAAACTAGATTCAAATTACATTCCTCAACATGATATAAGATGGATTAGATACTCAAATATCGGTAATGTTTCATCATTTCTCAAACGTCCTCATATTGATAGCTTAAACAAAATCTTCAACAATTCATTAACTAGATACAGATTGATTCACTCGGCAACCTGAGGTCAAGATTCCTTGACTGGACTAGATCTCTACAATATAATGGAGAATAAAAAATCACTGTTGATTCTTGGACAAAATAATTCATGTTTATACGGTGATTATAATGCAGGATATTGGAAACACAGCGAAAAAACAAAAATTTTAGATAGTTTTATGCTTTTTCTTAAATTTTTTTATTTTTTGGATAATAACAAATTTGAGGTTGCAAAACAAAATAATGACGAATTATTTACTATTTCAAAAGCGATAGTCCCAATTTTGGTGTTAAGAATCTATGTATAGACGGGTACAGTTGGGAATTTAATTGGTCATCATCATACAAACCAGAAATAGTCACTGGTTATCATACGCTCAACTGTATCGAAATATACCAAGTTCAAAAGTAATTTTCATATTTTGTATTAATTTTTTTTATTAAAATTATTAAAATATTTACAAATAAAATTAAAATTAAAATTATATAAATGTATAATATTTATAATGTTTTGTGATATGGTACATAAATTCTCTGCATTTAAACCATTCTAAACCACTCGTATCATCTCATTCTCCCTTACTTTCTCTTTCAATTTTGAAAAAAATTTTGTTATCAAACCTTGTTGGTTTGATTTTTCTTTGGTATAATTTACCAATAGGGTCCAGATTTTGTACGATTATTTCCACAACTCTTTTAACAGTTGGGCTTCTTCCACAAATAGAGGCTAGTTCTGCATGATACTCTTCTTTAATTAAGTTCAAGTAAGAGTATCCAGGAACATTCTGTGAGACCAAAGTTTCTGTCATTATTTCAAAATTTTCTTCATTTAATTTTTTTTTAAGAACAAAGAAAGATAAAGTAATTTTACAGAAGAAGGAAGGCATTTATAATTTTATATATTTTCAGTTGCTATTTTTAGTTCAGAATTTACGTTGTATACATGATTTTATAGTGATTTTTTTTAATGTTTCAGAATCATTTTGTGAATGTTTTTTGATGAAAATAGACTTAGTATGAGATGTAAATTAGTCTTATCTATAAATATCAGCTGATTTCTATGAGAAATTTCGGTGTTGATCGCGTGAGAAATTTATAGTCAGGAGTTAGGTTGGATGTTTCGGAAAACAGGTTTTCTGATTCAGAGAAGTATATTAATCATTAATGATTTGCAATAATCATTCGATTCTTCAATTGGCAATTTTTGTTTTATTGGTCTTGAGGAAGTGTGTGATAGTTTATCTGTTTTATCTTTAAATTGGACACTTTCTGCTCGTGGATGCTTAATTTCTGTTTTAAAAATGTACAAGTATATAAAGAACACGACTCCAGAAACAATTATGAGCAATCCTAAACTCAAGAAGAGATCTTATGAAGAGGTGAAGGAGGATTTTTC